ATCGTTTTATTTACCTGCTCAAATTAAGGGTAAATACACTTAATTTTAGAAATTTTTATTTATTTCTAGATCGTTTTTTTCAGTGCATGACCTGCTTACTAAGCGTTACCAGTTTCTGTAGACTTCTGGGGACCAGCTGTCCGTCAGCCAGCATACTGTCCTCATAAGCTGAGGAAAGACTGCTGTGTGTTTTCTAAAAACAGGAAGTGTGGGTTTTGTATAAAAAGTGATGCTGCAGCCGTTCAGATCATCCTCTGATCGGATCAGAATCTGGACAGGCAAACACCTCTCCGTCTGAACGGTGAGTTTCAGCCTTTTTTACACGATAATCTGGAATCTGCTTTTATCTGCTGCATGTTTAATACAATCAAATCTGACAAAACTATGAAAGAGGGCAGCGTTCTTACAACGCCTGAGAGACAAAAACTAAGATAGAAAACTATGTACTACACACACTGGAAAAAATCATGATCTAGATATGATTATTTCTTAAAATTAGTGCTTTGTTCTTGGATTAAAGAGATAAAAGAGACATTTTGCCAATGGAACAAGACAATTTACACTTTAAATAAGAAAAAAACAATTGCATTGTCTTATTTAAAGTGCATTTATATGGAAGAGGATTAGGGCCAGTGAAAAAAATAAAAAAAAGATAACTCATTTTTAAATTTTATTTCAGTTTAGTATGGGAAAAAAGTCAGAATTCTGACTTTAATCTCAGAATTCTGACAATAAAAAAAGTTAGAATTCTGAGATTAAAGTCAGAATTCTGATTTTTTTCCCCATACTAAGCAGAAAAAAAATTTAAAAATCAGTTAACTTTTTTTTTTTCCAGTGGCCCTAATCCTCTTCCGTACATATATGTTTATTTTAAGCATAAAAAATACTTACTCTATTGTCTCTTTTACCCCCTCAATCCAAGAACAGATTAATTTATTTTAAGAAAAAATTACTTCTCTAGATTTTTTTTTGTTCCAGTGTACTTGAGGTTTCTTCCTGTTCAAAGGGAGTTTTTCCTCTCCACTGTCGCTACAAGCATGCTTAGTGTGAGGGATTGCTGAAGAGTCAAT